GTGTTTATTGCTAAATAATTAAATATTCAATCAATAAACAATTATTAATACATACATACATTATTTATCCCTAATTAAATATTCAATAAATAAACAATACGACATTCAATTTAATATAAAACCTTTTGTTAACATAATATAAAGTCAGCACCACTCAGAAGTTGTTCTTCTTTTTTATTTTTTAATTAATTACTTTAAATGGTGATTCGTCCTGAAAATACTCACAAGAAACCAAATCGGTGTCCATCCGCTGCTGAAAGTAGATCCCATCTTCATTCACTCTCTCTCAGCCGGTTTACTCTGGTTTCTGTGAACTTCTTCAGCTGCAGACGTTTCCTCGGTGACTTGTTCATTTTTAAGCAGTTAGGACGTCAGAGGACGGAACAAAAATCAAATAAAGAACATTTCAACCTGACATTTAGCAGAAGAAACATGTTGAGCTGTGTGTTGAGCTATTTGGCTGCTGCGTGGATGGATCACTGAAAAGATGTTTTATGTGAAGAAAAAGCTAAAAATAAAATCTGAGGCATTTTCAACACGACACTCAAAACTTCATTTTAAATAACGTGCAAGAACTCGTCGGCTCAACTTTCAAATATGAGTTTATGCCACTTATTGTTAATTAATTACAAATATCTTTGACTGCAGACGGGCTTCCTTTAATTAAAGTGAGAAGATGAGCCCATTTGCATGCTGGGATTTTATTTGTATTCATGAGTTTCTGCAGCAGAAAACAGCCAACAGTGTATTTCCTGCTGGGGTCCGTCCACGTTTCTTCTTCAGCATCTTTAAAACCTGTAGATCCGACAAACGCTCCTGGATTTAACTTTTCATGTTTGTTCTTTTCCTTTTGTTCCATTTTTAATGCGCCGCGATGCGTTCGAGTTCCAGCAGGTTTCTCAGACGTGTGAGCAGCAAAAACAACTCAGGACGGATGTAGGAACAGATTCCAGTCTGTCGAGTTCATGAGTTGAATCTAAAGTCAAAATCTGCATATTTGAGTCGTGTTTACTGTTTGGTGGTTCTGTGGTTCTCCCTGAAGGCTGCAGACGGGCTTCTGCTCTTAAAGGAAATCTAAAACTGGGTCTTAAATGTTTTGAAACGGAGCTCAGAACCAATAAAGAACCAGTTCAGCTTCATTTGTTTGATGCATTTCTAATAAATTCTTTGGACAGTTTGCAGTAAAACAAACACACAGAGTGGTTCTGAATTTATGTCGAGTCCAGAAGAACTTATAAAAAACGTCCCTGGTTTGGTTATTGAAGGTTTTCTAATATAATCATGAAAGTTCACTTTATTGATTTTCTGCACTGTAAAAAATCAAAGTTTGGACCAGTTTTATTAAATTACAGATAAAATCTCGTCACAAAATCACAGGAATAAATATTAATTCACATGTTAACCACAAAAAAGATCAAAAATTGTTTTAAAACATTAAAAGTTTAGAAGTTCAGAAGTTTCCATCCATCTCCTCAGTATCTGCTAGCGTTGCCTTTAAACT